GCTCCAATTTCGTCTTTACTTGCAAAAGCTCGCTCCTCACTTGCTTCTCACTATTGATTACTTGCTGTAAATGACACCTTAGTCCTGATTCTTCACTTCGAACCGTTTTTATTTCTTCGCGCAAAGATTCCAGTTCAGTGTATCTGTAAAAAATGTGGTGAAATTCTTTAGTTTCCTGGTGAAATTAAACAAACATCGATTCTTCCAAGAAAGCACTCACAAAGCACTATCGTTCAACGTAGCAGTGGAACCTGTGGTACAAACACCATTACTTGTACTCGAGTAAAGAGCGTTCGTACTCGTAGACACTGGACAAATGTGCCTTTCTTGAGAATTACAGTTAGGTGTCAATACATTATTTACATTACAACTAGGTGAAGTGATGTTAGAGCCTCCGGCTGGTAAACACAAATCAGTGTGATTCTGTGACTTTCCTCCTCTCGAACGTCCTCCTTTAGAACGAACACCATTAGCTACAAAAAACGCCAAATTCAAATATTTATTGAAAACATCCCTATAACAACAAAAAATTATAACAAAAGCACAAAATCATACCCTTTGTTCGTTTAGACGTATTAGCCCGGTTGGATGTAAAACGATTGAAACCATCATCGATCTGAGAGTTATCGTCCTGATCACCCATTTCTTCTTCGCTCTCCACTTCGTTCGACGATAATGACAAACGATCATCTAGTTGTGAACTCGACTCTCCGCTGTTACCTTTCACAAAAAACAAGTAAATTCCAGATAAAAAGTCCCACACAAAACGCCAACGGGTTAAACGACTCGTCTGAGGAATAGAAGCTGGAAAATATGGAGTTACAGCAAACTGTGAAAAAAAAAAATGTATATGAATACATGCATAATATATGTATTGCTGAAAGATAGCACAGCTAGAGTCGAACAGAAAAACGCCAAAAAAATTTTTTTTAGTAAATTAGGACTTAAGATAAAAAGTTCTCAGAAACGATTTAAAAAAAGTTGGTCAATTTAAATTTCACATAAATTCTTTCTCCACTGATTCATTACTTACGAGAAAAAAAAAGCAAGTCAAAGGAGAAAGATAAAAAAAAGAAAAAAAAGAGAAAAAAGTGAGAGAAGACATCTGTGAAAACAATGATGTTTAGATGAGTAACATAAAAAGCAACACGAGAAAAAGGTGTCCTTCAACATACAGTTGCTAGCAGAATCGTCCTCATCATGTGCTGTATGAATGGACAGACGATCTCTTCGGGAACTTATAATGTTTGAATCCCCTTGAGAAAGTTTTTTTGGGTTACTCATCCCATTCGCCCTCCAACCATTCTGCTGTTTCCAAGAACCAACGTTTCTTAAACTCTTTCGCATTGGAGCAACAGCAGACAGCGCATTTGGTGCGCAAATCGCGAGGTTAGGCAACTGTAACTCCGTTGTGTAATCTGGAAATACTATAACTGTAGAAAAACTGAACTCAGCTACACAGCAAACAGCTGCGCCTTAAAAAGAAGTGGTAATTATCACAGAAGCCAATGAAAATAAATATCTCTGTTTAAAAACAATGCCTCAGGTATTTTCAGACTATTTTTTAATTCAAAAAAAAAAAAAAAAAATTTCCAGACGACAAATGCTACATCACCCTTTAACACTGGTTTTCATTAATAAACTATTTACAGTTCACGACTAAAGCCTTACCGAAAGTACAAAAATATTAGGCAAAAAAAATTTGGTGTCATTTTTATCCATTATTAGGATACGTTACCGCCCCAGTATTCCAAACCTGTCAAAAAAACACCGGTTTCTACAAAGAAAAGGGCAAAAATGTACAGATCCCTAACATCAACATTACCAGCAGCAGCTTCCTGGTCAGCAAGGAGTCCATTCGCGCAAGGGTATATCTTTGACCCTTCATAAACAAACGGTAAAGCTTCAGCCAAAAGTTTCCCATAAAAGTCATTTTCCTTCGAAACTTCACGCTGTCGTCTTTTAACACGCCATAAGCTGTAATTTATTAATAGTAGAACTCCTAGAAAACGAAATAAAAGACGGAAAGTGCTGAAAAACTTCAATAACTGTGATATAATCCACTTTAAAACAAATAAAAGAAGAATGTTCTATAAATCTTCAAAAAAAAAAAGATATATATATATATATGGGCCATTCCACGCCAAATCGCAC